TATCCCACCAACGGACAGCCTTGATCGATGGCACCTTTTGGAGGGTGGCTACGTTATACGTTCCTTTGACGCTGTGTGCCGGTCGCTTCTTTGATTCATTCCTGCCGTTTTTAGTCTTCTTTGGTAGAACTGCTTTGCACAGGCCCTTTCTGTTCGTCATTATTGTTCCCAAACTGTAGAAGCTCATGGTCAGCAGCTGCATAGCCAGCACGACAGAGGTGTAAAACCTGTCGGTGACTATGAGACGTCGCTCAGTTGGTCCGGTGACGCCGAAGGCTTGACGTAAGTTCCGTACAACTGCGGCAGGCCCCGATTTTTCATCACTGGGTGTGCTACTGTCTTGCATTTGTTGCTTTCCACAATAGACTTCAAACCTGTAGTATACACAATAGTTCAAAAGGTTTTAGCGCGCCGAAGACACGACAAGGAGACTTGAAACGAAAAAAAAAGAGCGTGCCCGAAGGCACGCTCTTATCCTTACCTGATGCAGTACGCAGACTTGGAACAGCACAGCATAAAAAGCTTTGTGCCCCAGCGATGGGGTTTGTCCTTCATAAAGATTCTCATCTTGTTGAATGGAGACGTGCACGGAAACATCGCTTCGTCAAACGCCATTATTGGAGGTGGGATGAAACTGGCCTGAAATGTTTCTTGCAGCACGTCAATCACCGGGCGGAGTTTCCAAGCTCGATCGGTCTGCGCTCTTGCGTCAGCATTGCTGCTAAAATGGAGGTTCCGCGAGATATGATAGAAGCGATCTCTAGTCATAAATGCGTTAAAACAGCCCCGAGGAATAGCACCTTCATCTGTAGTCTTCCAATGGTTATCAAACCTCTCTTTGTTGGGATCTATCGTTCTTGCAATAAATAATCCAAGCAAAATAGCAATTTCTCGGCCTGAAATGTCCTTCGTGCTCAGCAGCTTAGCCTTTATGATATCCGGAGGTGAGACATGGAAATGAGTCCTTTTCAGCTTCCTATCTAGCTGCTTGGCGCGTAGATCCTCCACTTGCGCGTCCAGGTTCTCCATAAAGTAGTCGCTACTAGCACCCGCAATTCTTTCTAGTAAGTATGGCGGGACGAACTGAGAAATGCACCAATTGGGGTCTCAACAGCGCTCAGCGGTGCAGCAGTTGGTTCATGCTCACCGCGAAAGAGATACGGATAGTCATTATTTTCCCAATCATCGCGACGCATGTCGTAGGGTGCATCCATGTATGGGTAAGGCGTCTGATTGTGTACTGGAGACCACCCGTTTCCTTCATGTCAGCTAAAACATCAGCTTTGAGGTTGTCACGTGCAATCTCGTGAGCACCACCTACTGCTTCAAGTAGATACGCATCAAATGGAAGCTCAGGTGGGACGACATCTTCATCTTCAATGCTGGGATCAGGCTCAGCGAACTCCAGCTCCTCGACATCGTCGTACACAGAGAATTATCATTCTCCTCGTCCGAATCAAGACTTGCAAAGACATACTTGTCATCGCCGGGCGTTACAATGTTAGGATCGTCTGATAAAAAATATACATGATAGTTGTTATTATCATGTATACATAGGAATTGTATATCGTGTACATACACGTTTGAACCTACCAGATAAAGCTGAAAAACGCAGCGTTCGATGCCGCGTCCACGCGATCGCCGTCTGCGGACTGTTGCACATTTGTGGGGCTTTGCGAAGAGTCGTTAGAGTCATCTGACTCATCAAAAGACCCAAACAGCTCGTACCGATTGCGCCTTGAAGTGGTTGGCACAGCTGGAAAAATACAACGCTGAAAAGAGTTAGCTACAACTCCTTCGAATTGTATGGATGGCACAGTAAACGTACCGGGTTTGTCTGGGCTTGACGAAAATAAAGCATTGATATCGTCGTCATATCTTCATGCGGCGAAGTAGCAATTAGCGGTGCACGGGAGTGAGATGGTATTGGAGAGCTGGGGTGCGTCTGTTGTCGTACTGGGGTGGTTGAGAGTGGCTCTTCATGCACTGTACTAACTGCATAATACACGATAGTGTTAGACAGGTACGGTGTAATGTACAGGCGTTGTAAAATATACCTGTTGGAGGTGTAGTATCGTCATCAGGTGGAGTGGCTTCATCGTCTGGCCTCGCGGATGCGTGTGTGGCGTCGTCGGTCTGTCGTTCATCTTCTTTTTGCCTCGCAAACACATCTATACACGCCTCAACGGTTAGGCTCAGGTTTTCAATACATCATTAGAATAAACAACTTATCAAGGTCTAGTCGATCCAAATACGACATCAGCTCCTTCTCCCCTACAAAGAAGTCTATTCCGCGCACGTCTGTTTTGCTTTTACCGGGCTTCAGATAGGAGTGGTCTTTTGAGAGGCATGTAGGAGTCTTGGAAGACCAGCCTTCCTGTTGTAGTTCCTTCCACCGGGCCCGAAACCCCGACATCTGACTGGGAGCGGGAGTTTTCTGAAATGAGCGCCAAAATGAGTGACGTTGAAAATCCCTGCAGTTTCTTATAATTATTTGGCGTGAACCACATATCGCTGAGATGCCTCTAAACTTTTATTTTATGAAAAATTGTGCAATGCACCGCCTGCGCACACCGCACCAGGAAGGATGGGGATCAGGCTTCACATACCTATCCCTCTTTGGCTTAGCGTTTTTATGACCGTTTGCAAAATAAGGTAAAAAACTAACAGATCATTCATGCACCATTTATTGTGTATTATACAGGATAAGCCTTCCCTACAAAACGTGTATAATACAGGCCGTCACTTTTGGGGGGGGGGGTAAATCTCCGTCTTCGTCAGGCAGATGTACCAAGCGCGTTCGTGAAAGCAACGCTGAAGTCGACAGTATACCTACGGCAAGTGAAGGGATTTGAGAAACCCGGTCATGAATATCAAGTGTGAAAGCTAGATATGGCGCTCTACGGTCTCTGCCAAACTGGCGCAGCATGCCGAGATGAGATTGACGTATTCGTGAAGCCAATCGGCCTACTCCCCACTACAGCTGACAAATATGTGTGCTGTATACACTGCGACGGGCTACTCATCGTCCTGCTGTATGTCGATGACATCTTGATTGTGTATGAGCATGGTTCGGATATGAAACGAATGCTTAGCTTAGTAGCCGAATGCTACGATGCAAAGAATCTTGGCATTCCCAAGGTATGATGGCGACTCAGCTTGACGGTGGAATTCTTCTGGATCACCGAACGCAAGTTGCCGGAAATATCCACCTGTTTGGAATAGCTGACTGTCGACCATCGATGCTAGAATAACTCGGCCAGACATTGCATTCGCTGTAGGTCAAGCAGCTAAAGGCTGTGTGGATACAAGCCTATCTCACTGGATCAAGCCTTTGTAAGTACTGCAGTATCTGAAGGGCTGTCGTGACCGAGGTAAACGAATGCCTTCAGGCCTTTTCTGACGCTGACTGGGCCAACAACATGTGTGACCGACGCAGCATCTCTGGTATACTTTTGCGCGTATATGTATCTTCAACGCACTGGACCAGCCGCAAGCAACATCTCGTGACCAAGTCGAGCACAGCCGGGGAGTATGTCGCTGCCGATATGGCTGCCGAAGAAGATTGTCGGACAACAACGATCTTACAGGATTTAATTGGAAAGCGACCGCGCCACAACCAACACTGTACGTCGAGTACGTCGACCCATCACAAATGTGAAGTTGTTGGGAGCGCAAAAGACCATTGATACTAAGTATAGATGCATGAAAGGACGGCAAACTGCCATTGAGCCCACCGTCCTCACTGCAAGCAGATACACTCACGAAATCGCTAGCCAAGCCTCAATTTAGTCGCATCAATGCTGCGTTTGGGCTGCACACGGTCCAAACGGCGTTAAATACACTGCAAACCTCTCTGAAGCCGCCACCGTCACCCCAAGCGCGGATATTTATCAGGATAATAATACAACGAGCGATGGATTTATCAGAAGAAGATACAATGAATCTGATTGGCCAGAATAAAATGGCGAGGTCTCTATATTTGTACTAGTTAAAATTAATCATGTTTGGGTATTCTGAGGTATTCCCAGTATAAACCTTTTGTTAGTACGAAGGTTGGTAGAAAAACCAACAACTGCAGACATAAGCTTTCGCCGGTTAGGATGCGTTCCTCAGAGGGTAAGGCGCATAAGTTTGATCTGAAATCTTGCTTTGGATATGCAGAACCCGAGAAGCACATACACTTTGTGAGTTTGGAGACGGCAGGTTCTTTTATCAAACACTACGCCTTTAACACGAACAAAAGTGCCGAGAGGAAATAAGGAGGTGGCGGGACCCACGTAAAATGGCTGTGTTCTGAGCACAAAAACGGTAGTAGCTGGTTTATAGCTTTGTCACGCAAACGTCAATCGAAAATTAATGAAGAAGCGACCATGCAGCGGCGGAAAAAGCCTACAGCTAAACTCTCACATATTCCAAGTGGATCATGGTATATCTCTTAAATGAAGCTAAACCACGCACAACCTTGCCCTGGGATTGCTGTAATGACTACTGAGTTTCTGTTGGAGCATCCTGGTTTTCGTGGAGCTATTCTTCCTGGTCATAGCACTTCACTAGCGCGGGTAGTAAAGACAATGAGTGAAATTCACGGTGTCGACATTTCCAAGCAACCTGCAATGGCCTACCGTACCATTACACAAGCAAAAAACCAGAACCCATTTGACCCAGTAGCTGAGTACGGACGTCTTCCTAGCTATCTACGCGAGTTTGCACTGAATAACCCGGGTTGACGGGTTTGTTGTCAGTTGGACTCAGAGGGGAGGCTTTATAGAGCCTTTTTATCTATTGGTAGTGCTGTGAATGTGCAAGACGCAATTTTTACCTATTTGGGAGTGCGATGGCACGCACATGAAGGATCCGTCGTACAATGGTATTTGTTTGACAATTATTGGTATAGACGGGAACAAGCAAAATGTGCCTATTGCAGTGGCCTTCGTTCACAAAGAGACCGTCGACAACTTTGCCTGGTTTTCGAGAACTGAATTGTCGCTGGTATAAAGATGAACATTCAGCCTGCGTTTTGTGACAGAGGAAAACAGCTAGCAGCTCAAGCCTTGTTGCTTCGCATCAACATGAAAATACACTTCAAGTTGTGCACACTGCATATCAGGTTTAACACCATGGACAGATTCAAATCTCTGAGGTTAAACTTGAAGTCCGTAAACGACGATATTTTTTTTGCTTCAAAGCGCTTCAACAACCGAAGGGTATGAGCTCATCAAAAATAAAATAGCATCCAAGTATCCTGCCGGAATTTCAAAGGTTTTCGCGGGGAAGATCGTAGAGGAGCACGTTTGGAGCTACCTTAGCAGTATTCATCCCAGCGATTGGTGTGTTGTCGGTAATATGAAGGCAACAACAAAGGAATTAAAGTGGATAGACGATAACTGGTCTTCTATCCCAAAGCACGGCGACGCTTTGCCTCTGCTTGGTATCCGCACTACGAGAGCTGTCGAAGGAGAGAACAACGGGCTGCTATGGGGACGTGTGCGGACCCAACTTGTGCTAGGTTCAGTCATGACGTATTGTACAAGAGCACTCAAAGTTTTGCAGAAGCGTAAGGAGCTCGTCCAGGAGTGGAATAGTGCAAGTTGTGATATCACTCCTCACGCTCGGAAGGGGTTCGAAAACGAGAAAGAACTGGTAGCTCATCAGACAGTCGTACAGAGAGACGAGTCTCTCTTCTACGTCTTTGACGCCTTCGATAGCCGCGGTTTAGGTGGGGACGCACATCTCTACGAAGTAAACATGGATTGTGGAGCTTGCGCTCGATGCACTGTTGCTGAACAAATGCAAGTCCCTTGCCGTCACATGCAGGCAGTCGCTTTCTGGTTATCAAGGCAGACAAATAGTGGACTTCCGGACTATGATATCAAGCACTACTTCCATGAAACTTACACTGTGTCGAAAATGGTAGAGGCCTTTGACTCCACTGTTATCAGTCTTCCTCTGTTTGACGAACTTGAGCAGACAAACGAAGTCAAGCCCCCACCGTTATATCGTCAAGCTGGTCAATCACGCAAGCGCTCGAAAGAAGCCAGAGACTTTGCAACTGGTAAAAGAAGAACGCCAAACCGAGGTGAATGTGCTGGGTCAACGGCTCCAATAGTTCGTCAGTGTGTACCTAGTGATGTACACAGCGATGATGATAGCAAGGCAATTGCAGAGTTTTTCAACTCGCAAGTGAAGGGCGCGCGGAGAAGCAAACGAGAAACGTTCACATGCAGCCGCTGTAAAGAAGCCGGTCATAACGTGAGGTGCTGCACGACACCACTGATGGAGATAGAGGAAGCTGGAGTAAGTATCGTGCCAGGTATTTACGTTGTTGCAGAATGTCCATTCGTTGCCTGTGGAAAAAGCGAAGAATATGAAAGGGAGATCAAAACCTACAAGTAAACAACGGAATATACCAACAATATTAAAAATAATTGGTGTCGTAAGTGTGAGAATATTATCTTCAATATCCTGAAGGATCGTAAATCAACACGGAGTATTGTAAGAGACGGCAACCAGTGTGAGCCGATGTGAATAATTACCTTGAAAGGCCTTGCACACGCTGCAATATATCCGCCACCACCTCAGACCCACCAAAAGGTTAGAAGTTGTTAGATCTAACGCAACGAGTCATTAGTAGCTGAGCACGCACCGAGTAATTCCTGTGAGAAAAGCGCCATCTCCAGCTCCCACTTTCGATGGCTATCTCCCTCGTCTTCGCAGCACCGGGCTTTATTACCACATCTCACACTGCTACTAGCTCAGTAGTAGCGAAATCATTCTTAAGCAGTAGCTGGAGAATCTTTGAATAAATGGACGTCGAGAAAGAACGAGCCGAGAGCAACAACACCTTTCGCATATTGAAGTTTTGTTGTTAGAGCTCACTATTTAATCAAATAGCAATAAACCGTATTATGGGGAGTGTGCATTTAGCAGCAACGCTAGGTAATGAATGCCATGTCTGAGGGTGCAATAAAGTTCTTCCATCCAAGGCTGTCAGTGTCAACTAGTAGACAATTAATGCAGTATCGTGTGCGAGAGATTAGAGCTGACAACATAGTGATGCAGATTTGACGCGTACCTCTGTATGTGGGCGGGGTTAGAGCACTATCGGCCAAACTTGAGCGTCAATATGCTTGCTTCGGCACCAATTATCAACACTTCAGAAACCAACAGCTGCATAACCAATGTCAGAAACAACGAAACGCTCAACACAACGAGTTGTCCGACCCACACATCTGCGGTTTTGTTCCAGCTGAGTAGAATGCTGCTCTGGAAGATATTCACCCTGCTTAATGCCTGCTAAATAACGCCATTAGTTTAGTCACATTAAACCTACTCGAGAAGTCAATCTACACCTTGAACCGCCCACAAAAATCTCTTCGTCCATAACTAGTGCAGTGTACAAACTACCACGATGCACATTTTGTGTGCGTGGTAGTGAACTGCGCGCGTGACGTCGAGGGGCCCACGCGTCGACAATAGTCCTCTGTTGATGGCGGCTTCCGGTTCAACAAATATTTATGATATTCCCCAAGGTTTTTATTTTTATGAATGAATGTAGCGCATATTATTCTGGCTAATCAGAATCATTGTATCTTCTTCTGATAAATTGTATCATTATCCTGATAAATATCCCCCAAGCGCTGACTTTAAGGAGACGTGCTGAAGCTAATACCTGCATGTTCAAGTAAGGCTGGCAAGCCGACGACGAATGGGGTTACGCTTTGTCGACAAGCCGTAAAATGCACTGCAATATAAAGAGTCGGCTACAGCAGACGATGGGGGCCGAATAAACAGCCGCGTCATTCATGAAACAAGAGATACTGGGAATACGAGAGCCGCTCAAGGAGCTGGCCGTTGCAGTCGTGGAGACGTAAATGTTGAGCTTCATCGATTCAAGCGAATACCTGACGAACATTATTTTCATATTTCTGCTCGCTAAGTCGCTCTCTGGTCAACGTTTGCTCTGCAATTTCTGACTCCATTTTATTTCCTTCATTTCCGCCAGCATCTGGGGCGTTGTAATCATTTACGTTGCTTCTACAGATCACTACTACACTTTATCTTCCCCAACCGATACTGTAGAAGGTCAGAACAGAACCGGGTGAACATGTGCTGACGCCTTCGTCTCGACACGACTTTTGCGTGATTTTGCCAGGGGTCCCGAAAAATAAATATGCAAAGTAAATTATTAATATTTTGATTTGCAATATTTTATCTTGTCGCAAATCTACTAACTATTCATATTTTATTTTGATATCCAGTGAACGCTCATATAACTTTTCCATTCCCTGACAGCCAAGAGTTTTGGGCTAGCAGCTAGAAACCAACCATCACATCTGCAGCCTTAAGAGCAAACCGAACGCCACTCCAGACCTGTGCAGTCACTCTTTAACATTTCCCACCGCCCTCACGAAGCTCAAAGTTACCGCAACCTCCTCTGCAATGAGTGTGTTTGCCTCGACCCGATCCTCCCGACCTTTCTCGAACAAGCAAGTCGCTCGGTTCTACTTCTCGCCGGCCCTCGACGAGCAAGGAGAGCCGACAGGCTATCAAGTTTTGCAAGGCTTGTAGTAAGCACCGCAAGCATACGCCTCGGTCGGGCTACACCAACCTGGTGTCACATGATCGTGACAGTCATCCCATCCCAACTACGAGAACGCGATGAGAGATGCAAGCGCTGCAGCCACCGGAACGCTTGTCCCATGGGTCAGCCAGAAGGCGACAAAATGGTTCAGCTGGACGCGCTGGATCGTCATGTGCAACCTCCCGTTCTCTTTTTGCGAGTCGGAAGAGACGCGAAGGTACGATATCGATACTACATTTGACGTTTTGTTTGTATTTTTTAATATGTGTACCACTGTATTAAATGTAGGTTTACTAACTTACCGCCGATCTGTGTCGAGACACTTTATGGTGACATGGAGAGCGTCGTGACGGCCGTCGAGAAGTTCATCGGCGAGGAGATGCCCAAGTCGTTCGGCCTCGTCATCGACGGCTGGACCCATGGCACCGAGCACTTCATAGCTGTGTCTGCATGCTACGAGTCCTCGAACGGCCCTCGCTTCCCGCTCCTATCTATGGCCCCGATAATCGACGAGCCGGATGATGCGCTTAATGCAGACGGCCACGCAGCGGGTATCGCACGGTTTTTGCAATTTTTTGGACCGTGCCTGGACGATGTGCGGGTTTTAGTCGGCGACAATTGCGCAGTCAACAAACGACTGTCTAACCTCATGGGCGTGCCACTTGTTGGCTGCGCAAGCCACCGTCTAAGCTCGTGGTGCGTGAGTATCTCGGTCCCCATGAAGACGCGCTGGCAGAAGTCCAAGTGCTTATGCGTAAGCTGCGTACACTCAAGTAAGCAGCCAAGCTCCAGTACGAGTACTATTTTCGGTATTAAATTTTCGATAGTACAAAATTTGTCGTTACTATTTTTAACCTATTTATTAACCGCTCTCCAACCGGTCCTTCGCCAAGACACGCGATGGTCGTCGACATTCACGATGCTCGCCCGTTATTTCCGTCTGTATGAACACATGTCCCCGGATGACGAGGACCTCGAAGACCTCATCCCCTCGCGAACCACGCATCACAGCCTTCGCAAGCTCTTCAACGAGCTGCACGATGTGGCGTCAATCTTTAAGAAGTTGTAAAGCGACGGCCTAATGCTATTCGATGCTCGAGACCTTCTTGACGGCTTGTTAGAAGTACGCCCTTCATTTGGGAGCTATCTCGGTAAGTGTCTTTTTCGTATTGCTAAATGATCAAAAATACTAACTATTTGGTTTTGCTGCTATAAAGGTTAGCACCCAACGCTCCCATCGTCCACTCGCCCAAGTTTGAGACCGCAGTGGCTAAGGTGCTGGGCGGAAAGGCGACGCGACTGACAGCTGCGGAGAAGGCGCTGCTACAATCTTTTCGACGCGTAGCAGGCGCTGCCGCTCCTTTTGACGACGAGCAAAGCACCAGCTTCGCTGAGCGGATCCTGAGGCGCCGGAAGGTTGACGCAGCCCCCAGCACGTTTTTGTCTGCTCAGCGCGATTCCACCTACGTCAAACTTGATTAAGCACCTGTTTAGATCGGTGCTGCGTCACGAGCGCCACCGTCTCTCCCCGCAGGCGCTCGAGATGAGCCTCTTCTTGAGGGCCAACAGCTCGTACTGGAACGTAACAACTGTTATACTTGTCTGCTGTAGATAAACTCGAGTATAAGCCAAGATTGAAGCGGCAATGATTTATTGTTGTGTGCCGAGTTGTTCAATTTTTCTTCTTCTAACAAGTAGGTCAGACGCTATCTATTTGCTTCGATCATCTTCAGTTGATATATATTGTATTTTCGGAATCCCTGCTTCGAGCTCGTCTCGCTTCTGGTTGTTTCCCTTCTCGGTCTTGATCACGTTCCTGTAGCCGTCTTCGAGAAGCCTCTGAGTAAACAAACTCCTCACTTCTTGAAGATGTATAATTTCTTGTTTTCCGTCCACGCTTAAGGCTTGCTCCACTGTCGCGACCCCTTCGCTTTGTTACTGGTCTATATTTGCGTCTGTTCTCTTGAGTCGAAGAGCACCACATGTGTCAAAGTTTCGTTTCCAGCTTGGACTACTGAGGCTCGAAGTATGCGTTGCAGATTTTGGATTAGTGCAAACAAGTCGCTTTGCAAGAGAATATTTACGCCACTTATATCGGTGTAGGCAGGATTTGTCCGGCTCGTTTAAAAAGAGTC